TTATAAAACTGTATATCGAAAAATTAATTTTACCATGCATAAAGTTAAAAAACAACAAATTGTTACACTAAAAAATAAGTATCTATAATCAATGACCTAAGGTTCTACCTAAAAAAAAAAAAAAAAAAAAACCTAGAAAAAGAAGAGAAAATGAACCCAAGGTAAACAGGAGAAAGTCAATTATGAAAATAAGAGGAGAAATCAAAGAAATAAAGAGAGAAAACTAACAAAGCCAAAAGCTGATTCTTTGAGAACATCCACAACACTGATAAACTCTAGCTGGAGAGAGACTCAGGAATAAAGGGGGAAACACAAATTCCCCCATATCAGGAATGAAAGAAGGGCCATCAGTATAGAATGGGCAGATACTCAATGGCAAGTAAAGAAATGGTTAACAAGGTAAACAGTTAAAAACGAGAAATTATAAACTTTGTGCAATGAAATTTGACAATTTTGATGACACACACAAATTGCTTGAAAGATACAACTTATCACAACATGAAATAGAACACGACACGAAACAGAAACCCTAATACCCCTGACTGTTAAAGAAAATAAATTCATTGGCCAGGTACCATGGCTCACACCTGTAATCCCAGCACTTTGGGAGACCGAGGCGGGCGGATCACAAGGTCAAGAGATTGAGACCATCCTGGCTAACATGGTAAAACGCTGATTCTACTAAAAGTTAGCTAGGCATGGTGGTGGGCACCTGTGGTCCCAGCTACTTGGGAGGTTGAGGCAAAATAATTGCTTGAACCGGGGAGGTGGAGGTTGCAGTGAGCCGAGACTGCACCACTGCATTCCAGCCTGGCAACAGAGAGACACTGTTACTAAAAAAAAAAAAAAAAAAAGAAAAGAAAATGAATTAACTGTCATAAATCTCTCTAGATACACAAACTCCAAATGGCTTCATTGTTGATGCTATGAAAACATACAAAGAAAAAATCACATCTATGTTAAATAACCTTTTTCAGAAAAGGGAGGAAGTGAAAAAATTCCTAATCTATTTCATGAGACTACCATAACCTTCATACCAAAGCCTTATGAAATACTGCCAAAAAAGAAAATTACAGACCAACATGCCCTCATGAACACAGGTAGAAATACCACTAACAAAGTATTAGCAAATGAAATCCAATAATACATGTGATATATTAAAAGGGCAGTACGTTACTACCAGGTATGGTTTCTCTTAGAATTGCAAGGTCAGTTTAATCTCCAAAAAAAAAAAAATCACGCAATAAAGTTAACTGTATTAGTAGAATAAAAGAGAAAAACACTGGCCGGGTGTGGTGGCTCACAACTGTAATCCCAGCACTTGGGAGGCCAAGGTGGGTAGATCACCTGAGGTCAGCAGTTTGAGACCAACCTGACCAACATGGAGAAACCCCGTCTCTACTAAAATTACAAAATTAGCTGGGTGCCGAGGTGTATGCCTGTAATCCTACTCAGGAGGCTGAAGCAAGAGAATCGCCTCAACCTGGGAGATGGAGATTGTGGTGAGCCGAGATCGTGCCATTGCACTCCAGCCCGGGCAAAAAGAGCAAACTCTACCTCAAAAAAAAAAAAAAGAGGTGGACGCGGTGGCTCACGCCTGTAAACCCAGCACTTTGGGAGGCTGAGGTGGGTGGATCATGAGGTAAAGAGATTGAGACCATCTTGGTCAATATGATGAAACCCCGTCTCTACTAAAAATACAAAAATTAGCTGGGGGTGATGGCACATGCCTATAGTCCCAGCTACTCCAGGGGCTGAGGCAGAAGAACTGCTTGAACCTGGGAGTCGGAGGTTGCAGTGAGCCAAGATCATCCCACTGCATTCCAGCCTGCCAACAGAGGGAGACTCCATCTCGAAAAAAGAGAGAGAGAAAGCCAACTAGAAGTATAATGAAACTTCTTCCATCTGATAAAAATGCACCTGTGAAAAACCTAAAGCCAACATACTTAATGGCAAAACACTGACCACTTCCCTCTAAGACAAGGAGCGGGGAAAGATGACTGCTCTAGCCAGTTTTAACTTTGTACTGGGAGTGCCACACACTGTAATAAGGGAAGTAACAAAAATTAGAAAGAAATGAAACTGTCTTTATTTGAAGATGGTGTTATCTTACACAGAAAAAGCCCAAAGGGGCCGAGTGTGGTGGCTCACGCCTGTAATCCCAGGACTTTGGGAGGCCAAGGCTGGCGGATCATGAGGTTAGGAGAACAAGACACAGTGAAACCACCCCCCTACTAAAAATACTCAAAATTAGCCAGGCGTGGTGGCACACATCTGTAATCTCAGCTACTCGGGAGGCTGAGGCAGGAAAATCCCTTGAACCCAGGAGGTGGAGGTTGCGGTGAGATGAGAATGTACCAGTGCAATCCAGCCTAGGCAACAGAGCAAGACTCTGTCTCAAAAAAAAAAAAAAAAAAAACCCCTAAGAAATCCACAAAACACTAATATACAAGGTAACAACAAGGTTAACATACAAAAGGTAAAAGGTGTATGTGTATGAATGTGTGTATTCACAGTAAACAATTAGATAATTATTGTAAATCTCATTTACAACAGTACAAAAAACCTAAAATATTAAGATATATTTAACAAAAGATATGTAAGATCTCTTTATTAAAACCTACAGAATAAGGGAGAAGGAAATGGTAAAATTAAAGAAACATCACAGAAAGGGAGCCCCAAGTTGAGGATGAGTTAGGGTGGCTGGAGCCTCGGTGGTCGGCAACCAGCACCACCAGGCCAGGGGGACGGGAGCTCCACTTCCCGACACCCCTGAGAGATGCTTCTAGAAGACGGACATCTTCATTGACATAAAATGAAGGTAGAAAACGGCAAACACGTTTTCCTTCAAGGAACTGGAAACCTAACAAGAGTCAACCTTTAAACAGAATTTTACTTTTCTTATATAAAGCAAAATAAAATAACATCTGCACCTTTACATAAAATTAGGAGAATTTTTTATAAAACAGAAAACAAAGGATGTACAAATTTGCACATACCTGAAGAAAAATCCCAGAAGAAAATGTTAGGGATTGTCCTTATAAAGCTTTCATTTCATTCATTCATTCATTCGAGATGGAGTTTTTGCTCGTTACCCAGGCTGGAGTGCAATGGCGCGATCTCGGCTCACCGCAGCCTCCGCCTCCGCCTCCTGGGTTCAGGCAATTCTCTTGCCTCAGCCTCCTGAATAGCTGGGACTATAGGCACGCGCCACCATGCCCAGCTGATTTTTTGTATTTTTAGTAGAGACGGGGTTTCACCATGTTGACCAGAATGGTCTTGATCTCTCGATCTCATGATCCACCCGCCTCGGCCTCCCAAAGTGCTGGGATTACAGGCGTGAGCCACCGCGCCCGGCTCAATTATTTTCTAAAATTTTACTTTAACTTCTGGGATACATGTAAAGATCTTGCAAGACTGTTACACAGGTATACACATGCCATGGTGGTCTGCTGCATCCATCTCCCCCGTCGCCCACATTAGGCATTTCTCCCAATGTTATGCCTCCCCAATCTCCCCGTAAAGCTTTCAATTCTTAATGGAACTAAAATATTGTTCTTAATGGGAACTATTTTTAATGTATTTTTCATTATGTAAGTTTACATGTCAAATTCTAAAGCACTAAGGACAAATAAGACAATCTTTTTTTTGAAAATTAATCAATGTTTTTTAAAGGCATTCTTTTTTTTAAAAATAAGAGTCTTGCTCTGTTGCCCAGTTTGGAATGCAGTGGTATGATCTTGGCTCACTGCAATCTCGGCCTCCTGGGTTCAAGTGATTCTCCTGCCTCAGCCTCCTGAGTAATATTATAGGCACCGGCCGCCATGCCCAGCTAATTTTTGTGTTTTTAGAAGAGATGGCGTTTCACCATGTTGGCCAGGCTGGTCTTGAACTCCTGATCTCAAGTTATCTGCCCGCCTTGGCCTCCCAAAATGCTGGGATTACAGGCATGAGCCACTGCACCCACCCAGCCATAAAAGGCATTCTTCAATGTGACTCAAAATGATATTTTAAAATTTTGCCAAATATACAAGGTATCAACAGATACTAACACAGATAATTAATATCTCAGTAGCCTCTGTCAAAGAGAAATTAAAAGTGACAAACTGTAGGCAAATTTTTCCTTTTAACTTCTATGGTCCTCTCCAAAATTATTGTTTTTTTTAGTCAGGGTCCTGTTCTGTCATTACGACTGGATTACAGTGGCATGATCACAGTTCACTGCAGCCTCGGCCTCCCAGGCTCAAGTCATCTTTCTGCCTCAGCCTTCAGAGTAGCTGGTTACTATCAGTGCATGCCTGGCTAATTAAAAAAAAAAAAATTGTAGAGATGGGGTCTCAATATGTTGTCCAGGCTGACTGCAAATCCTGGGCTCAGGTGATCCTCCCACCTCAAGTTCCCAAAGTGCTGGGATTACAGGTGTGACACACTGAGCCTGGCCATAAAATTAATTTTGTCCCTTTTGGGTTTTTTTTGGAGACAGGGTCTCACACTTTGTTACCTAGGCTGGAGTGCAGCAGCACCATCTCAGCTCACTGCAGCCTCCATCTCCTGGGTTCAAGCGATTCTCTTACCTCAGCCTCCTAAGTGGCGTGTGTCACCACACCTGGCTACTTTCTGTATTTTTAGTAGAGGCGGGGTTTTGCCATGTTGTTCAGGCTGGTCTTGAACTCCTGAGCTCAAGTGATCCACACTCCTTAGCCTCCCAAAGTGCTGCAATTACAGGCGTGAGCCACCGTGACCGACCAATAAAATTAATTTTGAAAAGTATTATAAACATTATATGAGAAAACTGTCATCCTAGAAAGCCAAGGCCCCTGCCAATCACACCCACAGACTATGAGGCCCTCATGTAGGAGACACAGGCATAGCCAGGGGTCTGAGAGCCAAGGCCCCTGCCAATCACACCCACAAACTATGAGGCCCTGGTGCAGGAGACTCAGGTGTAGCCAGGAGCCTGAGAAGACCCTGTTCATCCTCAGTGCTGGAGAGTGGCTTACCTCATCCAGAGCGTGGCTTGCCATCCCATCCTGCTGTGCCTGCAGCTGCTGGCTCACACGCAGTATCTCTTCCTCTTTGTTGTGCAGAAATGCCTGTGGAAATAGTAGTAATAACAACCACGGTCATGACAGAGCTCACAGAGCCTTACTCTGACCCTGCAGATACAAAATGTCCTCCTTCAATAAGCTTACAGGTTTAAATTGGAAAATCAATTTCAAAATGTTTTTCTATTCAAGTCCTTTCTGTCCTTCAAGGTAGCTTTAAAATAAACCAGTAAGTAAATAAAATCTTCTCTGTTTAAAATGACAAATTAGGCCAGGCAAGGTAGCTCATTTCTGAAATCCCAGCACTTTACAAGGCCGAAGTGAGAGGATCACTTGAAGCCAGGAGTTTGAGACCAGCCTGGGCAAGAGAGTGAGATTCTATCTCTACTAAAAAAAAAAAAAATTCAGCCAGGTGTGGTGGTTCATGCCTGTAGTCCTGGCTACTGGGAAGGCTGAGGCAAGAGAATCGCTGGAGCCCAGGGGCTTGAGGCTACAGTGAGCTACGTTGTGCCACCTGGGAGACAGAAGGAGGCCCTGTCTGTTAAAAAATGAAATAACACAAATAAATAAAATGACATATTAGTGTGGATTTCAAAAATCAATTACTGGACTTTTCCAGGCAATCTGTCTCAAAACCATCAGCAAAGAAGTAGTAAAATGAGCTCTTATCTGTTTCTCATCTTATTAACTAAGGAAGAGTTTCCACAGGGAAAACAACTTGTCACCAGGATCAGCCTAAAACTCCCTTTTACTCCACAAAGGTTAAAATCATTCACATGTAGCCTTGGTGAGAGAACCAGACGTAGATGTCACCACCCTCAACTACCTCCCAGGCCGAGTCCGTTCACCAAGCCCGTGGTGCACGGCCATCACATGCGATTCTACACATCTTTCAGGAGCATCTGGAAAGTTAGGAATGCTCTACAATTTTGAATATCATCTCTACTATAAACAGGTTAGTTCTGGTTTTGTTTTTTGCTTCTAAAGCACAGCTACATGAAGATAACAGAAAAGATTTAAAAATAGATTTTTTATATACACTTACCATGTACCCACAAAAATTAAAAAATAAAATTTTAAAGATTTTTTTCCTATCATGCCAGTGGGAAGAGAAACAGTGAGTGGCCACTCACTGAAGTTACCTCCTTGAGAAGGGCAAGCCAGCCAGAGCCCCGCGCCTCTCTCAGTCCACAACTGCTGTCCCAGCCCCGACCATACTCAGATCCCCGACCGTCCTCAGATCCCCGGCTGTCCTCAGATCCCCGACCATCCTCAAATCCCCAACCATTCTCAGACCCCCATCTTCAGATCCCCAACCGTCCACAGATTCCCATCTTCAGATTCCTGGCCGTCTTCAGATCCCCAACCATCCTCAGATCCCTGGCCATCCTCAGATCCCCGGCCATCCTCAGATTCCCGGCCATCCTCAGATCCCCATCTTCAGATCCCTGGCTGTTCTCAGATCCCCGGCCGTCCTCAGATCCCCAACCATTCTCAGATCCCTGGCCATCCTCAGATCCCCGACCATCCTCAGATTCCCGGCCATCCTCAGATCCCCATCTTCAGATCCCTGGCCGTTCTCAGATCCCCGGCCATCCTCAGATCCCCAACCATCCTCAGATCCCTGGCCATCCTCAGATCCCCGACCGTCCTCAGATCCCCATCTTCAGATCCCCAACCATCCTCAGATCCCCGGCCATCCTCAGATCCCCATCTTCAGATCCCTGGCCGTTCTCAGATCCCCGGCCGTCCTCAGATCCCCAACCATCCTCAGATCCCTGGCCGTCCTGAGATCCCCATCTTCAGATCCCCAACCATCCTCAGATCCCCGGCCGTCCTCAGATCCCCATCTTCAGATCCCCAACCATCCTCAGATCCCTGACCATCCTCAGATCCCCATCCTCAGATCCCCGGTCGTCCTCAGATCCCCGGTCGTCCTCAGATCCCCGGCCGTTCTCAGATCCCTGACCATCCTCAGATCCCCGATCGTCCTCAGATCCCCAGTCGTCCTCAGATCCCCGGCCGTCCTCAGATCCCTGACCGTCCTCAGATCCCCGGTTGTCCTCAGATCCCCGACCGTCCTCAGATCCCCATCTTCAGATCCCCGGCCGTTCTCAGATCCCCAGTCGTTCTCAGATCCCCATCTTCAGATCCCCGGCCGTCCTCAGATCCCCGGTCATCCTCAGATCCCCGGTCGTCCTCAGATCCCCAACCGTCCTCAGATCCCCGGCCGTTCTCAGATTGCCATCCTCAGACCCCCGACCATCCCCAGATCCCCAACCATCCTCAGATCCCTGACCATCGGGGCTGCATTCAGAAAGCAGAATTTGGGACAGGGGTCTCGGGCTCCCAACTCAAGATCCCTGGAAAACTGCTCTGTGCACACGGCCCAGGTGGAATCAGGAGCTCTATGCAGCTGTCTGCCACATGGGGGCCACCGGCGTCTGTGAAGGCCAGACACTCCCCCGCCCCCCACCCACCCCCTGATGAGGGTTTGTAAGCAATACAAACTCGGGCGTCGTGCAGACCTTTTGTAGCTTACCTTCAAGCTCGTGTTCTCTTCCTGAAGTTCTCTGAGGCTGACGGCAGTCTGGTTGTTCTGCATGTTTAATTTTAGGTTCAGGTGCAGTATTTCTTCATTCTTACTTACTAAGTCACCTTCAATCTTTTCAAGCTGTTCTTTTAAGTCCAAAACCTTTCATTAAAACAAAAGAAGGGAAGTATTAAAAGTCATCTAATATCCTATTAAGAATTGTTTTAGAAATCATTAAAATAAGCTTTGAGAGATTTGAAAGCACATACCTAAAACAGATATTCCTTCCCTGTGCCTATACCCACATACAAATGGTAAAGCTGCAAGGAATACGGTGGTCACAAGCTCATCATCTGCGTTACTGGACGTCGGACCTTCCGGAGACGCCACTGGACACTGACCTGCAGTCCCACTTTGCACTCACCTCGCTCTCTCGCTGTAGGAGTGCGCTCTGTGTCACCTCTAATGGGGCTTCTGGACCCTGCGGAGGGCTGCCTGAAGGAGGCTGAAGATATCTGCCTGCATCCAGCGTAGACTGCAACGTGGACGCCAGAAGCAAGCTACTCATCTGCTGGTCCTTTAGCGCCTCTTTATCCTATTAAAAACAGGAAATCTATTTTAGGCAAATATTTGGGAATTCAGTACCTCAAACTGTGGCCTGTTAAAACACAGACCATCTTCAGCTGCTCCCAAAGCAGGCCAGGTGCACCTGCACGCACCTGCACTCAATGACACACCCGGCGCACCAGCACCCAGAACCCTGCCCTCTCCCGGAAGAGGCCTGCTGGTGCAGGACATGACCCAGAGCCACAGCCTGTGCCCGAGTCCACTGTGAGGAACTGAACTACAGTAACAGTAACCACACTATTACCAATATATTCAAAACTCACAGAAACTTGCCAAAAAATGGGGCAATGGCTGACGGCATGCTGATACAATGAATATTACCTGCCCAGAAAAAATTTTTTAAAGAATTATCTAATATGCAGAAAACAGTCACAATGCATTACATGTGCAGGAGATTGGCATATAACATTGCATATAAAGTCCAATTTCACGAAGGGAAAAAAGCCATTTTTTAGCCCTGGCATCCCCTAAACCTCAGTATTCGTCTGCTGAATGGAGGCAGAAGGAAGGGGTGCAGGAACCCTGGAGCAGCTGTCACTGAAGCACAGGCAGTGGCCAGCCAGGGGACAACTCTGCTCCAAGCACAGGTGACGATGAGCAGTCTTCCCTGCCACACCGAACGGAAACACGTCAAGTCCTCAGGAAAGGCCCGACCTAGTAATTCTCGTCAGCACTTTCAAGAAACAACCCGACTTAGTAATTCTCGTCAGCACTTCCAAGAAACAAATATAACTGGCTGAGCGAGGTGGCTCACACCTATAACCCTAGCACTTTGGGAGGCCAAGGTGGGCGGATCACCTGAGGTCAAGAGATTGAGACCATCCTGGCCAACACTGGTAAAACCCTGTCTCTACTAAAAATACAAAAATTGGCTGGGCGTGGTGGTGGGCGCCTGTGGTCTCAGCTACTCAGGAGGCTGAGGCAGGAGAATCGCTTGAACCCAGGAGGCAGAGGTTGCGGTGAGCCGAGAGCGCACCACTGCACTCCGTCTCAAAAAAAAAAAAAAAAAAGAATCGGACACACCTGAGAAAGCCTCCTCTCATGTGTGAAGAAGGATTTGGGTCTGAGGGCCAAACGACTGATTCTAAAATCAAATTTCTTACTGAGCCTCACTTTCCAAGTAACCTTTCAACTTCTGGTGACAGAAAAGTCAGTTGAATTCCTTTTAGCTAAATGCTCACAAAGGAGGTGGGCAAAGCTGCTGCCTAGAAATGCAGACAGGCAGCCCTGCCCCCTCCAGCCACGAGACCTGCACCCAGCTCAGCACCGCAGCCCCTCTTTAAACTCTCAGACACAAACGAAAACAGAGCACCAGAAACAACAGCAATGCAAAACCATCAATGGAGAGCTTGCCACTGGGAGCTGACGTAGGTTGCTCAACCCAAAAACTGAAAGAATTACAAGGGGTTCTCATCAAAGTATTTAATAAGGTAAGTTTTTTTAACCTAAAATTAATAAATGTTTACTTTATGAAATATTAAGGATAAATTCAGAGTTCTTGAGACATAAAGAAATGTTATAAAATGCTACTATAGCAAATAAAAGCAAGTATCTCCAGAAAGGTCAAAGTGCGCTTGCTACCCAGTCACCAGTGACTTCTGTTTATCCCTGGCGCCTGTGTTTCTGGCGCAGACGTGGAGAGTGCGAGTGAAAAAGCAAGCCCTGCCCACTCCCCGCCAGCTCAGCGACGAAGCCATGTACGCGGGGACACCTCGCCACACGCCCAGCCACGAAGCAGAGGCGCTTTACTTGTTCCAACTCTTTCACAATGTTTTTCTGGTTTTCCAATTCTTCCTGGAGCTGGGCCACTTTTTTTCTGATGTGGACGTTCATCTCCTCCAGACGTTTAATCTCGTCTTCCTGCATTGATACTTGTCTATCTGCCGACTCTTTCTGTAGAGCCAATTCATTAAATCCATCCGACTTTTCTCTCAACTTTTGTTGTAACAACTCAACCTAAAACAACAAAAAATGCTTGAGAAATACAAGAGACTGTTTCACAAAAACCCGTCTTTCAAACGGACAGATGCCCTCCGCCCTCTCCTGGAGCCAAGCCGCACAGGGAAGCCTAAGGGAAGAACAACTGGGTGAAGGGTTACTACTCAGCAACAAAAAGAAAAAGCTAGGGCTACACTCGGCAACCTGGATCAATCTCCAGAGAGTTGGTGAACAGTGTCAGTCCCCAGAGATGGCAGACTTCACACATCAGAAAGATGGAAAAGTTTTAGAAGCAGACGACAACGATGGCTGCCGGAGAAAGAAGGACGGCATGGCCGGGAAAGGGCACGTGAGGGTCCCTGGAGGGCCGAAGGCGCTGCAGCGTCACCAGGTCCCATACCGGCTATGACACTGGGTTCCAGCTTTGCAGATGTGACATCTGGGGAACTGCACGTCTGCCCCGAGGGATCAGAGCCTTACCTCTAACAGCTGCGTGGGAATCCACCGTTAATTTTTTAAAAGAATAAACAAACCTACTGGAGCTTCCTCAGACAAAGGAAAGCAGGCGGCTGCGGCCCAAGCAAGAGTGAGAAGAGCGAGTGGGCAGAGGACAGTGCCCGTGGGCGTGGGGGAGCCCAGGTGCGGGTGCAGGGAGTGCCTGTCTCGTCGACGCCTCCTCACCTCTCCATCCAGCGGCGCCTGCTGCCGTTTTCACATACATGGAAGGCAAAAAGTTAAAAGAAAGTTAAAGCTTAATAACACAGCAGAAGACAGCGAGCCGCGGCACCGCACGCCATGTGAACTCACCTGGCTGTCATGAGTGCCCCAGGGCTGCGGCCTGGCCGCCTGGCGGAGCTGCCCCTCCAGCCTCCGAATCTCCTGCTGGAACTCCTCACGCTCGTGCTCCCGCTCGGCAGCCTGCTCCTGGGAGGAGAAGCAGCATGTTGGAGTCGCCTGACGGGGCCTGTGTGACCCTTGCAGCAAAGGCCCAGGCTTTCACGGCACATGGACTCCAAATTTCCCACTCGTCACAGCCCCTTTGTAAAAGGGAGGTAGTAAAGAAAAGCGGGCCTCTGCATGGAACACAGGAATGTCTGGAACTGGTGGGCAGGAGGACAAGAGCTGGTGAAAGCATGCAGTGCAGGCCCAGCCTGGCCCCAAAGGACGCCTCTGGGACTGAGAAGCAGTGTGGCAAGACCAGGGAAGACTAGCCTTTGGAGGCCTGAGCCACAAACATGGGCAACCAAGACACCCACCAAGAGTCAGTGACCTGGGTGCCCCCGTGCAGCAGGTGTGGGACACCCTCCTCAACATCCCACCAGAGAAGCTTCTGTAACGATCTGGAAAGAAGCTCAGGCTGTAATGGCAGCTTTCAGTGATGCAAATAAAACGCATTATTCAGAATTCTTACATCCATGAATTGCCGCTGGCTGCGCAAATGCTTGTCCAGAGACGCCACCTGTTGTTCCAGGGCGGTGACAGCCTCTGCCTGCTTGGCACACCCGAGATGCTGAGACAGCTGTTCTTCCAACTCCAATTCCAAAATCTTCATCTGGGCGAGCAGGGCTGAGCGGTCCTTCTCAGCCTGCTTCTTGGTCTCCGACTGTTCTGTGACCAGATCCTCCACTTCCTTCCGGAGAGCTAAGGAGGCAAACCAGACAGAGATGGGGAACCCCTGCACCTCAGGGGCTGTACTGAGCAGGGCACACACGTGCATTTCCTGATGATGATTCCCTCAAAACCCACCCAAAATGAAGTCACAACTTTGGGGTAAAAAGCCCATCTTTTAAAACAAAATTGGCTAAAATAAACTTTTTAAGCCTGAGAAGAATACTTCTGAGTGACACATCAGGTAATTCTCTAGGAACTGTGTCTTCACAACACTCTCCCTGACAGAAACACACGTCTAAGACCCTCCCCACGCAAGCCCAGTCCCAACAGACACGGACGGAGCTGAGTGCCTGGGGCTGTGACATGTCGGGGGAAAGACGAATGCCCCGTTGGTAAATCAAAAGCAAATCTAGGCCAGGCACGGTGGCTCACACCTGTAATCCCAAGACTTTGGGGGGCCAAGGCAGGCAGATCACTTGAGGTCAGGAGTTTGAGACCAGCCTGAACATCGTGCTGAAATCCCATCTCTACTAAAAATACAAAAATCAGTCAGGCGTGGTGGTGCATGCCCGTAATCACAGCTACTCAGGAGGCTGAGGCAAGAAAATTACTTGAATCCGGAGCAGAGGGTGCAGTGAGCTGAGGTTGCAGTGAGCCAAGATCACTGCTGCACTCCAGTTTGGGCAGCAAAGTGAGACTCCGTCTCATAAATATAAATAAATAAAATTAACTGGGTATCACAGTTTAAATTTCTGTCCCCTCCAAAACTCATGCTGGAATTTCACTGCCAGTGTGGTTGTACTGGAGGGGCCTGTAAAAGGTGATTAGGCCAGAAGGGCTCCACCCTCACAGCAGCTGGGATACCTCGATCAGAGGCTGTGGCCATGGGCCCTCCCTCTCGGCCCTTCCGCCTCTGCTCCATAAAGATCCTGAGGAGCCAGCTCTCCACTCCAGAGGACGCAGCATGTAAGGCTCTACTAAAAAATACAAAAAATTAGCTGGGTATGGTGGCTGCGTGCCCGTAATCCCAGCTACTCAGGAGGCTGAGGCAGGAGAATTGCCTGAACCCAGGAGGCGGAGGTTGCGGTGAGCCAAGATTGCGCCATTGCACTCCAGCCTGGGTAACAAGAGCGAAACTCCGTCTCAGGAAAAAAAAAAAAAAAAAAAGAAGCAGCAGAGACCGAGCCCTCACCAGACACCAAACCTGCTGGCACCTTCGCCTTAGGCTTCTCAGCCTCCAAAACTGCGAGCCACAAAGGTCTGTCTATGATGAATCCCCCAGCCTCAAGAATTCTGTTCTAGCAGCACAGACAGCCTGAGACCCAGGGTAGTGAAGCCCCAGCCCAAGTGCAAACCGCGGATTAAAAAGCGTCTTGAGAAAAGGGGCTCTCTGCTGCTGAATCCTTAAGTCTTTATTTATTACTGGTGTTTTTTTTTTTAGACGGAGTCTGACTCTGGGATTACAGGTGTGAGCAACCGCTCCCAGCCTGAATCCTGAAGTCTTTCAGCCATCCAAAAACTAAATTATTAAATTTGTACATGTTAATTGACATTTCACCAGTTTCCAAAAAAACATTTGATCTATAAAATTGTTAGTGTTTTATAACAAATTATCATGACCAAAGCAAGTAACATTCTCAATAAATGCTCACGCCGCTGTCCACAGCGACAGCGACTCTACTGAAAACATGCTGCCGTGGCAATGCCATTCACAATCTGGACGAGGGGTGGAGCCCGGGAACAGTTGCTCCCCAACTACAGTCCTGGCCCTGGACATGCCCCGGGCTCCACTCAGCCCAGAACATCACCATCTTCAGGGCCAAGGGCACTGGGCCCTGCCCTGGGGCTGGGCGCCTGCAACACACACGCAGCCTCAGGGAGGCACAGGAGAATCGCAATCCCTGCTGGCTGAGCAGGCGACCCCCATGCTGAGCAGGCCCAGGGGACTGAGCAGGCCCAGGCCCTCCTAGGAGACCGGAGCAGGGACCAGCCCAACAACAGTTACAACCGCCACAAGAGTTCCTGAAAAGCAGCACAAACTGTAGCTCAGGAACTGTAGTAAGTATCATCAGAGAAATGCTCCCGTGTTGCTGGGGAACTGAAATAAGACACTACCACCCACTTCTGCAAATACTGACGATTAGAGTACTGCTGTATTTATTGTTTGCCACAGAAGTTCTGAAGTTCCTTTCTTTAGTAAATATTTGCAAAATCCAGTGCAAACACACAGCACATCACACAGAAATCCCTCGTTTGTCTTTACAAACCTGAGTCCTTCTGTCCTGCAGTGACAGCCGTGCCTACGAATGAAAGTATACATTTACTGAGGCAGAAACAGAACCTGAGAGTTAGAGCCAGGGAAGGCTCCGGGCACCGACGCTGGCCTTCAACAATCTCTAGACTCAGCGTCCATCCTGCCCACAACTGCTGTGCAGGTGCAGCCCCATGGACTTTTTGAGGAAACAAAGACAACAATGGGACAGGCGACACCACCGGAAGACGGCCACGAAACACGCCTCACAGCAGAGGAGGCGCCACAGAATACAGCCAGGCCGGGATGCTGAGCATGGGCCCTGCTAGGAGTGAGGTCAGGGCCACAGTGGGTATGCCGGTAGCCAGGGCGTGGTCACACAACTGCAGGTCCAGGGTGAAAGGAAAAGAAAGAAACCAGAGTGAGAAACTAAGGCAGGGTTAACTACATCGAAATGAAACCAAGAGGACCCCAGAGAAATGATGAGAATTTCCCAGTGACAAAACAGAGTTGGCCCAGGATGTGAAAGGGCTCCATGAGATCCCTGCCCAGCATGCCAAGCACGTGCCACTGCAGGGCCTGTGGTAAGCCTCAGCTTCTATCCTGGGGCCTGCAGGGACCCGACAGGCTGTGGATGCCCAGGGCCCATGGCCACCTGCCAGGGCAGTCCCTGGTGGGCCAGGCCTCACAGCAGGGGGTGAACCAGAGGCAAAGCAGCAGAGGGGTCACTACGGCCTTGGGAAGAAGCCTCCGTGGTGCTCAGCCCCATGTGCCCAGGCCCAGGGCACGACACCGGTGCTGGCCACAGGGGCCCTGGCCACTGGGCCTAGGCCTCGCCAGGCGGTTCAAGAATACACAGGCCGCACACCCCTTTCTCTGCCAGGAGTCCGGACTAACGAGGTGACTGGGCTGAAGTCCAAGGGCTCGTGGTGATAAAACACCAGGTGGTCTCCCCCGTCAAAGAGTGTGGCCCAGCTACCACTGGCTGGGCACGAAGACACTGGAAACAGGACAGCAGAATCCACAGGGTGGGGCCCGGCCACGAGGCGGCCCCTCGACAGCAGGGGGCAAGCAGAGAGCATCGGAGGAGACGCAACAACGGATGCCAGACACAACAGCAGAGCCGGAACAGAGACGCAGGCCCTGGGTGCTAAGAGCAATGCAGGACGTCCGAGTGTTCCTGAAAAGTCCCTGAGGAGATGCAGGAAAACGAGCGCCTCACAGGAAAACAAACGGCATCGAATCACGTCTCCAGCACAACTAGACTCGCAGAGGAGGCGACGGAGGAGACTCCAGGCCCTCCCAGCCCTCCCTCTGTGGACACACGTCGCACGGGGGCAGCCGCACTTGGAGGCCCGCGGGGAGACAACACTGGCCTGAGCCTGGCAGCAGCCAACTCCACAGTGAGGACTTCACAGCTGGCCAAGGAAAGGCCACCCAGAGCAAGGCCAAGGCCAAGCAGGCAGGCAGAAAGGAAACACCAAGAGCAGCAGGAAGGGCCCCACACTGGCAGGCGCGGCGAAAAAACACCGGCTTAGATGGACCAAAAGAAGACACTCACAGGTAGGGTTTTGTGTTTTGTTTGTTTGTTTGTTTGTTTGTTTTTGAGACAGTCTTGCTCTGTCGCCAGGCACCAGGCTGGAGTGCAGTGGCACAATCGCAGCTCACTGCAATCCCTCCTCCTGGGTTCGAGCAATTCTCCTGCCTCAGCCTCTCAAGTAGCTGGGACTACAGGTGCATGCCACCACGTCCAGCTAATTTTTGTATTTTTTGGTAGAGACGGGGTTTTACCATGTTGCTCAGGATGGTCTCGATCTCTTGATCTCGTGATCTGCCCACCTTGGCCTCCCAAAGTCCTGGGATTACAGGTGTGAGCCACCATGTCCGGATTACAGGTAGGATTTTTTAAAAAGTCATGAACACGGTATCCACATGAGCCACAACTATAACAGAGCATTAAAAAAGACTCAAAATGAAAGGACAAGAAAAAGATATACAAGGGGAAAAACACCAGGCTAATCCTTCAACCTCAGAAATGTATGTAAAAAACAGAAACAGGATAAACAGGAATGACAAAAATGAACTAAAAAAAGAAGATGACAAAGTCTGGATGTGATCGTAGAGTTTTAAACACTCAGCAAGACAATGCCTTCCACACTGGCCAAAGAATCACAAGCTTGTGTGACCCAAATGTCAACACGAGCACCAGAGGTGGAAAGGCTGGGGCACAAGCAGGAGGCACGACCTGAACCCCCAGCCTGCGAGGCGGCAAACATGCCTGCCGGCGTCCAACCCAAAAAGCCCAGAGCGAAGAAAGCCAGAAACCACAGGAGCTGGCTGGGCCAGTGACTCACACTTGTAATCCCAGCACTTTGGGAGACTAAGGCAGGTGGATCACTTGAGGTCAGGAGTTCAAGACCAGCCTGGCCAACGTGGTGAAACTCCATCTCCACCAAAAATATAAAAAATCAGCCGGGTGTGGTGATGCATGCCTATAATTCCAGCTACTCAGAAGGCTGGGGCAGGAGAATTGCTTGAATCTGTGAGCCGACATCATGCCACTGCACAGCAGCCTGGGCGACAGGGCAAGACTCTGTCTCAAAAAAAAAAAAAAAGAAAAAAGAAAAGAAAAGAAAAAAAAAGAAACCCTAGGAGCAAGAAATCACAGGAACGAGAGCAAAAATCAGCGAGACAGAAGACAGCAAATGAGAATGGCCACAAAAATTAAAAGCCGGTTGTTTTCTAAAGAGAAAAATGTAAAAAAGAAATACTTTTTGAAATAAAAAATGAGACTTCTGAATTGGCTGAGATGGTTCCTTCGATGCCCAAGCTTATAACTCCAGTTTGTGTTGGGAAGGGATAACCCCGAGACCACAAACGTCCTGGAAGGAATGAAAAGCATCGGCTCCTCTGCCTCCTGAGCTCCTGAGATCCCAGGAGTGCGAGGCGTCTGTGGGGTGGGAGCCTGAGATCCCATGAGTGCAGTGTCTATGGGTTGGGAGCCCGAGATCCCAGGAGTGAGGGGCGTCTGAGGTGTGGGAGCCTGAGATCCCAGGAGTGCAGAGTGTCTGTGGGTTGGGAGCCTGAGATCCCAGGAGTGCGGGGCATCTGCGGGGTGGGAGCCTGAGATCCCAGGAGTGCAGGGCGTCTGCGGGGTGGGAGCCCGAGATCCCAGGAGTGCGGGGCGTCTGCGGGGTGGGAGCCTGAGATCCCGGGAGTGCAGAGAGTCTGCGGGGTGGGAGCCCGAGATCCCAGGAGTGCGGGGTGTCTACAGGATAGAAGAGTGGGCATGTGGGTGGCAGGACCAGCCCGATACGAGCTGAAAAGGCATGGGGAGAAAGCCAGAGTCAGAGGCATCAACCAGGGAGGCATGGCATCGGGACTGAGGGCAGACATCCCAGCCCTGGGAAAAGCCTTTGCTCACTCAAGCTCAGCAAGGTACTGAAGATACAGTTCCCTGCAGGCTCGACATTTTAAGCTTCTTATGTTTTGACTGTTTTCATTTTAAATGCCTTTAAAACCAAAGCATCTAAAAATCTGAAATGATATAAACTAACTCTGTTAGAACGATGTTCTCCTAACTGGGGTTAGCATCAGGCCCTCGGCTGCTTTTAATGAGATCGTACAGCAGCTCTCGTTTGCCACTTGGCTCTGCTGCCCGCGGCTGCTGCTGGACTCAGAACTCCTCTGAATTCCACCTCAGAGGTGGGGACCCTCCAACCAGCAGGGCCGACAGACAACCCACCTTCTCCGAAAGGGCAGCAAGGCCAGCGGACCCCTCACTGATCCCGCACAAGCTTCCCACGCCCAGCGATCTAGAGAAGCAGCGTGCTGGTTTACACTTGGCCCTCTAGAGACACTGAGCATCCCCAGGAGCTGGGGAAGCCGTGGCAGCCGCGCCTACGTCCCACAGCTCGCACTGTTCTCCAGAGCCCACACTCCTCACCAGTTTCTCTGGCCTCAGCGTCCGCGGCTGCGGCCTCCCCCTGGCTCGACAGACAGGCACACTCCTCCCTCAGTGCCGCCTGCTCCTGCTCCGCCTGCTGCAGCTGCTGCCTCAGGCTCTCTAGCTCCAAGACCAGGCGGTGCTCGGAATCCTCCTTCGCGGCCAGCGCCTTCTGCAGATCCGCAGTCTCTACCTTGAATCCCTCGAGGGTACCTTTGGAGGACACAGAGATGCTCTGAGAAAACCAGCCCTGGGTGCAGAGCTGACATCACCCCATATCCACACCTGCTCCACGGTTTGCATAGAGACCTCAAGCAAGGAGACCCGTGAGACAAGCGCCTCGGGCAACGGAGGACGGCCTGCTGGGAGGGAGGAACCCGGACGCCTGCCCCGGAGGGCAGCAGAGCTAAGAGCCGGAGGCTTTTAGAACACAGCTGGGGGCCTCCAATGACCCTGTCAGCCACAGCAGCTCCCAAACGCCCTGTTCCTCCCAAACCATGGGTGCCTCCCACTGTTGGCTTTGTTTTACACTTCACTTTTAAAACCCCATCCGAAGGCTTCCTTCCTTCAGCGAGGCCGGGCCTGCTCCCGCGACAGCTCCAGGCACCCAAGGCCCGCGCTGCTCACCCTGCGTCTTGTGCAGCTCCAGTGTCAGCTCTGCCTTTGCTGCATTCTCCTCCTTCAAGCACTCCAGCAGCTCCTGGTGCTTCCTGACAACCTGTGCCGTCTCTTCATTTTTAAAACTAAATTCTTTTTCAAAACGAGAATGAATTTGGCGTGCTTCTTCCAACTGTTAAAACACATTTACAAATCAAAACTCCAGATCAAAAAATAACTGAAGCTTACGTTACTTCTACCCCCAGGCCCTTCAGGCCGTCACCACCCAGGCAGTGCCAGGGCCCCAGTCTCCAACGAGCACCCTGCAAACGGTCCCCCCCCCGGCCTCCCAGCTCAGCCCTGGTCCCTCTCCCTTCCTCCAGACACTCCCCTGGCAAGTGTGTCCAGTCTGGGACTCCCAGACCATCTACAGGCTGAGGCCCAGAGTCACCTCTGAATTCAAAACTTAACAAAAAATGATTTTTTTCTTTTGAGACAGGGTCTCGTTCTGTCACCCAGGCTGGAGTGCAGTGGAACAATCATGACTCACTGCAGTCAGCCTCGGCCTCCTGAGGCTGCCTCAGTCTCCTGAGTAGCTGGGTCCGCAGGTGCATGCCACCCACGCCTGGCTAAATTAAAAAAGAAAATAAAATTTGTACAGATGGGAGTCTTGCTATGTTGCCCAGGCTGGCTCAAACTCCCGGGCTCAAGTGAACATCCTACCTCAGCCTCCCAAAGTGCTGGAACTACAGGAATGAGCGTTGTATCTGCCTGAAAAAAGGATCTTTGATTGATTACCATGCATTCCTATTTAATGTCTTTTTTAATTATCTAAAATGTCCTAAGAAGATTTTAAAAACAGCTTCCTTTTTCAGTGATAATCTCTAAATATGAAAACATGCCATATGGACTTGCAATGGTGCATGAAGTGAAGTGAAATAAATGTGCCTATGTATTATCCAAATTAAACTGATTCTATCACATTCAGAGCAAGCCCACTTCCTCATCTGATTCAGAGAAGCCTCCTCCCTGGGGAGAAACCCACGAGACTACGGCTGACACCGGCGTCCACCAGGCTTGTGAGGCAACATCAGCTACTCGGTCCTCACCTGCCTGCTAGAGTCCAGGGCCATCTCCAGCAGTCCATCCACGGCCAGGCTGAGGCTCTGGAAGACCCTCCGGATGGGCTGCTCACATTCCCGCACACTTTCTGGGCTCATGAGAAAGCTTTCACGCATGTGGCTGCTAATCTCAGCCGCGGAAGACATCTCTGCACATTCAGACAGGGTTCTGTCCAACTCCGGCAGGGCTGCGTCAGACCACGTCTCCTCCAGCGCCGGAGCTGAAAGATGGGCAATATCGGCTCACGGGGCTCAGCGAGCAAGTTGGCCGCAGCCACGACAGCCACAGCAACAGGGCATCTCAGAATGAGAACCGAGAACCGAGAACCGAGAACCAAGACGAGACAGCACATGTCGCAGGAGCTGGCAAACTTAGCCCAGACCCCAGTCTCAGCCTACTCTAAGTGCAGGAACTAGTAGGAAACCAGGAAAGCAGGGTCTTCCTGGAGGATCCTCTCTGAGAGCTCCAGGCCCACATAGGGGCTGCAAGCACAAGGCAGGCGGCTGGGGGCCTGGTCCCGGCACACTCACCTGCCAACAGGGCCAGGCCTGTGCCCGTGTCGTCCAGACAGAGTCCCACACGCTCCCCAATCCGGCTCCTTAGGGTGATGGCTGCCCTCAGCGTCTCTCCAAACAAACCCAGCAGCCTGCGCAGGGCATCCTGGAGGGCCCCTCTGAGACAGAAAACACCCATGAGGTGAGCTGGTCATGACATGGGAACCCACCCCAGATACTGCTGAGGGGCTGACCACCAGTCTGCACGACTCAGCCCACCGCCACCTGTCCCTGCGGGGACGGAAGACACAATCCTCACTCCCATGAGCACGGGAAGCCGAGACCACAGACAAGACGGCCATGGGGCACCCACTCCAGGACGTGGGCTTCCTAGGTGAGGTCTTCCTGATGCCATTTCTGATTTGCAAAAGGTACCATATTACGAACGCAACGAGCCCGTCCTGCAGGTATGCGATGTGAGCGCATACTGTAAATCACCCAGGAGCGGCACACAGGCTCCGTCTCTCCCCTGGAGCACAGGCTGCACCAGCCAGCGGTTTTACAAGATGTCTGTCCAACACCAATCACGCCTAAGCCGCACGTTCACAGGAGTCGCACGGTGAGAGGAGGATGGCATTTCCCAGCCTCCCTCTGGGCCTCGTGGACGTGTGGTCTGAGATGCTTCTGTTTTTACACACAGGGGCTCCTGGGGCCCAGGCCCCTCCATGCCTTGCTTCCTGCACTGCAATTTAGGGGCAGCCCTCCCAAGTGCGAAGCCACTGAGAAAGGGCAGGCTGACCCCGCACCTACACGGCTGGCCCTCCCTCCACTCCGCTCACAGTTCTAACCCCCAGAGCCCAACCCTGTGGAGCAGACGATGAGGACTGATTCATGGAGACCGTGAGGTGAGACCTGCAGAAGCACCGTGCAGGCCCCGAGGAGCCCAGGACTCTGGGCAAAAAACAGGGAGGGAGAATCCTGAGGAGAGAATGCCATCCACTCCCTGGCACACATCCAGCCCCTGAAACGCCCAACTCCTGCAAGCAGCAGGGCATTGGCAGCTGCCCCTCCTCACGACAGGCACTCCCTCCAGCCTACAGGAATGGCAGGCTCACCTCTGTACCCCTCATGTTTAGAGCCTGGGCTACCCCACCCACCTCTACACCCCTTGAGTTTAGAGCACAGGCTGTCCCACCCACTGCCAACCTCTGTACCCTTCAGTTTAGAGGCTGCGGGACCACCTCGCCTGCCACTCGCCATGGCTCCGGTGACTCAAGAGAGTCAGCACCAAGCTACAAGGTGCCCACAGCCAAGTGCAAGAAAAGGCAAGGTCCTCACAGAAAAATCACAAAACGATGAAAAGAACAAAGATCTGCACAGACACGCCCCAAACGCAGATGGACCCTCAGCATGACAGACGCCAACGCTCCAGAAACAGCTGTGAACTCAAGAGAATCCCATCAGCCTGACCCAGTCTCCCGACCCTGGATGGGCTCCGGGGTGAAGCCAAACCCAGTCCAGGGCTTCAGGACACAGGAGCAGGACACAGAGGCCTCGGGTGGGACACACCACAGGAGCAGGACACAGAGGCCTTCGGTGGGACACCCAGTAGGGAGCACACGCATGCCCTGCCCTGGGAGAGCCCTCGGGGCTGGGCGCTCTGCCCACTGCCTGCAGGTCCCCAGGTACAGGCTCCCAGTGCAGAAAGGGACGGGCAGGGCTATGGCCGCTGCTCAGGCCGGTCTCAGAAACACACGTGACACAGAGAGATGTGTGAGGCATGACATTCCCACACAGTCCAAGCCACAGGAACCATGAGACGTGTGGGCCTGGATGCACTGTGGGGAGGCGCTGGGCTCTGGGTGGGAGGAGAGGGATGGGGTTTCCCAGGGAGGCTAGACGGGAAGCTGAGACATAGCAGGCAGGCAGGCGTGTGCTTCCAGCGCTTACAATCTTCTCAGGTGAGAAAAATAAGGAGGCTGGGTCCCCATCCACCAGGAGTCAGTCTGCACGGTGGCACCAGCCATGGGGCCAGGGACCAATGGCCTCCACGTGACCTGGCAGGTGCAGGCAGCCACGAGCAGCCCTGGGGCCAAGGACACACTGACCTCTCGCTGTGGGACAGGTCGGCGTCGGCCTTGAGCATGGAGAGAAGGTTTGCACCTTCCTGGTTCTCCCGCTCCCGCCTCTGCTGCAGCGCCTCCAGCTCAGCACGGCACTCTTCTATCTCACGACTCAAGGAGAAAACCTGGTCTTTCAGCTACGGGGAAAGATCATTAATGCTTTAGTTAAAACGATATGTTTAAAAGTCAATGGCTGTAATGGTCACTATTCGAGTCTCTGACATAGGACTCTTGAGCTCTGCGATGGTGCGAAAGCAGAAGGCATTCTGGCGCGTTCCTCGACGCACAGTGCCTTGACCAACAATGGTGGAGACGCGGCCCCCGCACAGGCTGAGGAGCACACTTAATAAAAATACAGCAAAGGTAAACGAGGTGCCGATTCAAGGTGAAAACCACTGATGCAGTTTTTCCTCCATTACTCGTCATTTACAAACAAAGAATACACTGGCATCCCCAGCTGGAGCCTCAGGCCAGGGGAGGGAAGGGGTGGTTCATCAGAGACCCACCACTCCAGCAGCAATTCCAGTAAGTCACTGTGAATGGTCATCCACAAAAGTCAAGTGCCAGGTAGACTAAGATCTTTCTTTTCGAAACAGGGTCTCATTCTGTCACCCAGGCTGAGTGCAGTGGCCCGACCACAGCTCACTGTAGCCTCAATCTCTGGGGCACAAGCAATCCTCCTACCTCAGATTCCTGAGAAGCCGGGACTACAGGCATGTGCCACCACACCCGGCTAATTTCTTAATTTTTTTTTTTAGAGACAGGGTTTCCCTATGTTGCCCAGACTGGTCTCGAATTCCTGGGGTGGAGTGCTGGGATGACAGGTATGGGGCACGGTGCCAAGGGAGGGAGAACGGGCAGTGAGAGTCTAATGGGGACAGAGTTGAATTTTGCAAGATGAAGACATGGAGATGGCTAAATGCACCTCCGCCATGGAACGAGGCACTGAAGCAGCTACAGTGACTTCTATGCTACACGTCTTACCACCAAAAGAAAATGACTTTCAGGCTGTACACGTCTTATTACAAGGGAAAGGCATATTCTACACACCTGCTGGACTTGGTGATTCTTCTTTTGAAGCTGCAGAGACAAAGACTCTTTCTCCTCTTGGTGAAAAGGCTGTGCCTGTGCACTCTGGAGCCTATGTGTCTCTTCTTTTTCAGGCAATGTAGCTTTCTTTTCACTTCCAAATTCACCCTGTACACATTAATAACAATAAAAAACACCAGTAAGCTAGAAAAATGCATTATCTGCTATTAGCTAGAATTCAGCACCTTTGGCAAATATCCACGGAGCTCCCACTCTGTACCAAGAGCCACCACTCACAGAAAACATGCGCTCAGAGACTTGGCGGAGAACATGAAGTCCTGATTTCAGGGACACAAGTCCGCACCGGTGACAGCTGCGTGCAATGAGCACTGCTCACTACCATTCCTAAAGGGTTACTGTAACATCTTCAAGAGTCACATTAAGAAGTTCACCATCCTGTGATTACAGCCATGAAAATCGAAGATATTTGGAAACCTAGGTTCCCTCCCTTTTAAATTATTTTCTTCCTAAATAATCAAAACTTTTAAATAAGGTTCAATAGATGAATTAAACTATATATATATATATATATATATATATTTTTTTTTTTTTTTTTTTTAAAGAAGGACTCTTGCTCTGTCACCCAGGCTGGAGTGCAGTGGTATTATCTCATGATCTTGGCTCACTGCAACCTCTGCCTCCCAGGTTCAGGAGATTCCCTTGCTTCAGTCTCCTGAGCAGCTGGGATTATAAGCGCCTGCCACCATACCCGGCTAATTTTTGTAATTTTTTTTTTTTTCAGAGACAGGTTTCTAGTAAAACCTGTTGGCCAGACTAGTCTCGAAGTCCTGACCTCAAGTGATCCACCCACATTGGCCTCCCATAATGCTGTGATTACAGGTGTGAGCCACTGCACCTGGCCAATTAAATTAATAAAATAAGCTTATTTTTTAAGCCTACAGAAGTAGCACTTCTAGAATGGCAAAGTAAGGACCTCCAAAATCTGTTCCTCTATAAAAGAAAAAGTGGTAAGAAACCATCAAAACCAATGTTTTCAGAGCTATGGAAATTCGGGCAGGTTTGCAACCAGCCAAAGAGTGTTTATTGAAAGCACAGGCTGAGTGTCAGTCAGAACAAGGTTCAGGTGCTTAACTTTGCTCTGACCCCAAAGCTCCTCTCCAATCTGACAGCCCTGAAAACCAGTAGCTGCCAGGGTAGGAAAGAGACCCCAAAAGTGCCATGCACAACTGCCCGAGCCCACGTGCTGGGCACCTCACTGCCGTGGCTGGGTCAGAGCTCTCTTGGTGTCAAAGATTCTACCCCAGGGCGTGTGCTGGAAACAGTCCAAGGCGAGCGTTTAACAGCACAGCTGCAGCCACCCACAGGAGAGACGCCAGCTGGGACTAATAAGGGGCTTCCGGGAAAACACTTGAGAATGAGACATCCTCATAGGCTCGGAAAAGTTCTGGCATCTTCTGGGGCTCTACATGGTGTGAACACGTGCAGGACTGTGCCCACCCTGGACAGGCCCCAGAGGCCCCGGGCTGGCTGCGGGCTGACCATGTGGCTCTGCAAAGCCAGGGTGAAGGCCAGGGCTGGGCTGTCCACCGCCCACCAGAGCCCCGAGGGCACAACACACACAGGGCCCTCAGCAGAGACAAAGACAGAAATAGAGCTCCCTCAACCCCTGGAGCTGAATACAATCACCGAAACAAATCCACTAGAAGAGGGCTCAGCAGCAGACTACAGCAGGCAGAAGACAGAAGTTGCACGCTGGAAGATGGGCCAGTTCACACGATCCAGTCAGGGAACAGAGAGAAACATGAAAAAACTCAGCAGAGCCTCCAAGGCCTGTGGGGCACCCTCAAGCCAGACAGAGGGAGAGAAAAGGGCAGAGGGAACCCTTGAAGATATGATGGCCAAAACCTCCCAAATTAAATGAAAACAACAATAACAATTCCCAAACACAAGCTCAATAACCCCAAGTCGGACAAACTGACAGAGACCCACTCAACCATCACAGTCCAACATCAGCAGGGTTCAGGACAAAGCCTGAGGGCAGCTAGTGCACAGTGGGTAGATGGGTACGGCTCATGACACACAGCCCCAGAATACGCAGGGGTTCACAACGCAGCCTGGGAAGACAGGTGAGGCTCACAACACGCAGCCCTGGGAAGACGGGTGAGGCTCACAACATGCAGCCCCGGGAAGATGGGGTTCAAGACGCAGCCTGGGGAGACAGGTGAGGCTCACGACACGCAGCTCTGAGGAAACAGGCAAGGCTAATGACGTACAGCCCTGGGAAGACGGACACAGCTCGTGACACGCAGCCCCGGCCGACAGAGGAGGCAGCAGGGAGCACTGACCAGCGCTTAAGGAAAAGCCTGTGGACCTTGAAGTCCACATCCAGGAAATGATCTCTTAAGGATGAAGGAGAAATTATGACATTCTCACAAAAACAAAAGCTGAGAGGATTCATCAATAGCAGACCTGTCCTGCAAGAAATACCAGAGGAAGTCCCTCGGGCTGAAACAGAAGGCCCCAGACTGTTATTCCCAGGAAGAAACAGGAGCAGCAGTGCAGGTAACAGAAGACAAAACAACGCGGCTTTTGTTTATAGTTCTTTCTCCTCCTGATTTAAAAGACAAGTGCATAAAGCAATGGGCACAAAAAGATATAAAGATGTGCTTGGGCCGGGCACAGTGGCTCACGCCTGTAATTCCAACACTTTGGGAGGCCAGCAGATCACAAACTCAAGAGATTGAGACCAGCCTGGCCAACATGGTGAAACCCCATCTCTGCTAAAAATGAAAAAATTAGCTTGGTGTAGTGGCACACACCTGTAGTCTCAGCTACTCAGGAGGCTGAGGCAGGAAGATCGCTTGAACCCGGGAGGCGGAGGTTGCCGGGAGCCGAGGTGGTCCCACTGCACTCCAGCCTGGTGACAGAGCGAGACTGTCTCAAAAAAAAAAAGAAAAAGATCTGCTTAGTAAGCCATTATGAGCGCAAAGGGCAGAGAAGGGAATGAAGCTACATTGGCAAATAGTTTTGTAAACTTTTAAAATTAAGTTGGTATTAATCCAAACCAGATTGCTGGAAGGTGCTCGCTGTAATGCTCAGGGCAAGTGCTAAGAGAAGAGCTCAATATACACAGCAGTCCCCTTTGTCTGTGGTTTCAGTTACTGTGTTCAACCTCATTCTGAAAATACACGAAAAATTCCAGAAATAACTCATGAGTGTAGGTGCCTGCCATGCTGAATGGCTGGCTGAGATCTGGCAGGCCAGGCCAGGGGTCATCCCTCTGCCCAGACTGCCCATGCTGCAGGCACCACCCACCCACACACAGGCATCTTGGTGGTCAGACTGACTGTCACAGCATCACAGTACTTGTGTTCAAGTCACCCCATTTCACTCAGTCACGGCCCCAAAGCGCAGGAGGTGATGCTGCAATTCAGACGTCCACGGACGCCATAATGGGATTCCTCGAGTTACAAGTTGATGACAGGTACGCATAGGGAAAAACGGCATCCACAGTTTCAGGCACCACTTGGGGTCTTGGAATGCATCCCCTGTGGGTCAGGGAGGACCACTGCATGGTGAAGTAAACATCATGGGAATTTAAGGTAAAAAAAGATAGTGATGGAGAAATACAGGGACAAAAAGGACAGAAGATATACAGAAGACAAACACCAAACACATACTGACACACGCTACAACATGCATGAACCTGGGAACATGCAGAGCAGAAGCAGAAGACACCCAGGGCACACCTGCCTGAGTCTCTTTACGTGAATGTCCATGGATATGGAGGGCAGGCAGCAGACCACCAGGAACGGGGCAGAAGGGAGGATGGGAAGTAGCTGCTAATGAGTGGGGTGTCTTGTTTTTCCTTAATTTTCATTTAATTATTTTTTGAGGCAACAATTTCGTGTCACCCAGGATGGAGTGCAGCGGTGCAATCTCAGCTCACCACAGCTTCAACCTCCTGGCCTCAAGCGATCCTTCCACCTCAGCCTTCTGAGTAGCTGGAACTGCGTGGCGCGCCAACACACCTTGCTAATGTTTTTATTTTTAGTCTTGAAGTCCTGGGCTGTAGCCATCCTCTTGCCTCAGCCTCCCAAAGCACTAGGACTATTGGCTTGAGCCACTGGGGGTTTGGTTTTGAGGTGATGAAATGTTTTAGAATAAACTTTTCTCAGACGTAAGATAAGTGATGACAGATTCTCAGGAGAAAAGGTATGTTAAGCAGATTTAAATTTAAAAAGGCATGACAAACACTGCCTAGAAAAAGCTCAGTTGTAAGACGATGAAATTATGTTTCAACTTGGCATATGAAAAGGTAATTATAAAGCAACCTCTTTATCTACCTAGCAGGCAGGAAAGGACAGCACTGAACTTGTCTCCTCGGAGGTGGGACCTGCTGCCCAGGACACCTGGGGTGGAGTGCCCGCTCCCCTCCCCGCCCAGCACAACCAGGAGGGCTGAGAGCTGGGCCTCCACGGGCTTCAGGAGGAGAAAGGTGTCAACACTGAGTGAGGGCCATATCCAAAGTAACTGGGCCAACAGTTTCAGCAAACACATGCAACCCTGACACCAGAAATTCTCATGATTCTCTACCTTTTCCGTGTGATAAGTCATGGGAGGAAAAGGAGAGAGGGTGGTGTGCCCCGGCGCCAGCGTGGAACTTGCTGAAGGTGCCAGGTTGTCTGTGCAGTTGCGTCTTAGTCGCAGCAACCACAAACAGGGTCACACGGTACAACACTGAATTCACACTCTCAGGGGCTAGAGACCACGTGGAATTGTGAGTACAGATCACTTTAATGAAATTTCTCTCCTGAATTTGATTTAGTTCCATCTGCTGGAAAGGAAGCACTCAGGATTAACTTCTGAGCTGTGGCACACTACAAACTTTCCAAACTTTAATTACTGTGCTGATGCCACAACCATCAGCAATGTGTCTCTTTGGGGACAGATGCGTTGATCTGGGCCAATAGCCAAGGAGGAGACAGCAGGCCAGGAGTGAGAGGTCTGAGGAGGGATGCTGGCTTTGTGCACACCAACCACAGAACGCTGGTGAATTCAAGAACAAAACCCAAAATGCCAATGAGGACCAGCAGGACAGAGGCCAAGGAACTGGGAAGGTAAGAAAATCCATCCTCAGGGCCGGG